TGATATCATTTGCAAATCGATATCGCCACGATATTTATTTAACATCATTATTATATCAATTCGGTATTGTTTAAAAATTCAAGGTTTCTGTAAAGTATTAATTAATTTTCAATCAATTTGCTCTTTCTAAAATTATAAGTTTAACCTAATTTTGATTGAATTTGCTAAAACTCAAATGTGAATTATATATGTGATGTCTGGGGTCCTTGTATTAGTACCTTTTACTGGTTCTGAAGTGGATCACAAATTAAATATAAATTATAAATCATATGATATGAAGATCTATTACCACTATAAAAAAAGTTTTTGTCAAATAAATAAAATAAGATTTTTTTTATATTTAGTTTCTTTGCTTTATGTTACATAAAATTATCAATAAAAACTTTTAAAATATTTAATATTGATCAAATAACTTAATTGATTACTAGTCATTTAATTCATTATTCATTTCAAGTCATTTACCAAACACTGTCTTATACTATTGGCAATTTAATACCATTTATATGATTATATAAATGTAGTTATATTTGTAATAAGATGACATAAAGTTATAATTCAGTTTTTGCTATTTTTGATCTGGCTGCCTTGATTTTTATTTTAAATTCAAAAATTTTTAACTAATAAAATTTAACTATTCTAATTTATAATAATTTTTATATATTAAAAGTTTTAGGTTAAATAATATATAATTTATAATGAATCCATAATATAATGAACTCTTAACTTATCGAACATTTTTTAAAAAAAATTTTAATATATCAAATATCATACAAAATTTTATATAATGTATATTAAATTTTTATTGAGTAACTGTTTATAATAAAACATAATAAAAAAAAATTTTAATATATTAAACTGATCATATAATTAGAGCACTGTCAGATATTACCTAATATCACTTTAATATAAGAGCTTACCTTCCCTTCTAGGTAAGATATGTTTAGTGTTCCATGCAAATCGATTTGTGACACAGTATGATCCTGATTGCTCCTGAATAATAAAAACATATTTTGCGAATAACTTTTAATCTAGCAGTTTGATTTTAACGATTTTTTTTTATTTTGATCAGGGCAATAAAACTTATCAATTAAAAAAAAGATCATTAAAATTGGATCACTAGATCCTGAAATAATAATTTTTAGAGATCAAATCAAGTCCAAATTTAGTCCAAATCGAATTAAATTTCAGAGGAGAAATTTGATTCATGGAGAACACTAGATATGTTATATATATAATTCCTTATATAGTATTATATGTAACCTAAGATCTATAATTATCCCTCTCCTTCTAAAATATTAAGTAATATCTGATAGCATCCTTAGTAAAATTGGTGTTATAAAATTATAGATTATAATTAAGGGAAGTGACAACTATGATGTAATTATTAGAGGGGGGGAGGGGGATAATTAAAATCTGACGTTACACTTATTCTATTTATATAAATTGTATAATTAAATTTAATTGATTATTAAATCTGACAAGGTAGAATTCATAGTAAAATGAATATAATGTAATATGTGTCATTTCCCTAAACAATTTAATCTATAGAATAGCTTAAGAGAGGTTATTGGTCAAATTTTTAAATTTATCATGACAAGTCACCTTTGATCTCAAGATGACAGATCAGTCTTTTCCTTCAGAAGGAGCAGTATATTGATAATATTTAAAATTAATTTAGAATACTTTATTTTATTTTACTTTTGTAAATATATTGTATTACTTTAATATAATTATCAATAAACATGATTGTATCACGCCTTTATAAAGAAAAAAAAAAAAAATTAAACAATTTGATCAGATTTTTTTTTACCATATTATAAAATAAAAAAGAAAAAATGTAAATAATGAAGTAACATTAAAAAAAAGAAAGAATTATGTTTGCTTCATTAAGAAAATCTATTATTATTATAGGAAGAAATAGAGAAAAAATTTGGTGTAAAAAAAAATACAGTTTGTTGATATTTTAAAAAGTAAAGACAAATAATTAAATATGGAATTTAATAGTTTTAATACAGCTAAATAAAAAAAAATCACCAAAATTTCTTAAACTAGAAGAAGCTTTAGCAATTTAAATCTCAAATATTTAATAGCTAATAAAACTATAATAGGAGAAATTATTACAGAACCCCAAATAATACTAATATAACTCACAAGTAAACTTTAAGTACTGAAGTAAAAATACATTTTATGACATAACTCTGTCAATATTGAAGCTAGGAGTTCGATTTTACTATCATTAGAATCCTCTCATCGAGACGAATCCAATGATATAAATTTTATTAAAATCAAATTACTGGTTATATTAAAAACATGGGTATGTAGGATAACAAAATTTTGAAAATACCCCTATAAGGCCAAAGAAATAAAATTATTTGTTTCTCATGAAAAAAAATTGCTAAATTTGACCCAGCCGCCCGGAAAAAAAATTTATTTTCAAAAAAAAATTTAGCCGATTCCTAGAAGATGATTGGTTGATTTAATAAATTTTTTGCCTGGGTTACCAGGTGAAAAAAAAATTATTTTTTTATGATTATGATTGGTTAAAACCAAATCACATGACCAAATAAAATAAATTTTTTTATCTTTTCGCAATATTTACATGACCCGTCTGGTTATGAGAAACAAATAAATTTATTTACTTGGCCTAATACGCAACTTTTGAAAAATTTTAATATAAACTCTACGCAAACTCAAATGTGAGTTGTAAGGATTTTTGTAACTCTTTCCCCGTTCCCCTTCTGGAGTTAAATAATTAAAACAAATTTAAATATTTTTCTTTGTCTCTATAGGGTTTCTTAGCGGTTACTTGAGACAATTTTTCCCTTTTATTAACTTTGTTTAATATTATTTTATTTGATAATATTGAGTGGTTATGCGTAGGGTTAGGAAAATATGGTGTACGAGGTAAAATTTCAGTACAGTACAGTACAGTACAGTACAGTACAGTTAGTACATTGTACTTAAAATTTTAAATACCATATATTTAATAAAGTTACTTCAAATGCTAATTCTGTCAATATTGATTCATTTATGATAAAATAAATACTATCAAATTCCTTTCATTGAGATGAATCTAATGAGCTTAATTTTATTGAAATCTAATCACTGGACCACTTAAAACCAGGGTATATATGATTAAAAATACCTCTGTAATTTATATAAAAAAATGTACTTGTACTAAAAAAACTCAGTACAGTACATTTCCCAACCCTGGTTATGCGTTTTAACAAAGGTTTACACGAAGAAGATTTTGACGATGACAAGGATGACCCTTGTCTTAACCTCCAGCTTATTTCTCTTCAAGTTCAATATAATAATGACCTTCCTTATGTCAGAAAATATCTTTTATTTCATAGAGTTCGTTACGAGCCCTTTATTAACACTCCTTTTTGGAATACTTTACCGTTACCTACTCAGAATTTTATTTATAAGGCATATACGGAAAAAAAGGATATTCAGTTTACTCCCTATGAAAGATTGACTTCTGATTATCCTGTTACACCAATCAGCCCATCTACAGATCTTTTTATTGATGACTCATTTGAGAATCCCCTTCCTACTGATCTGAGTTCCCATGATGTAGATCATTTGGATAATTCCTTTGAAAATATGGGGTTTTCAGATAATTTTCTTGGTAATATTATTTCTCCAGCTATTAATTGGAATAATTACCTCGATCCTAATGTTGATGAAGATAAATTAATTGAAGATGATCTAAAAATAGATGAATTTATGGACAAAATGTATGCTGCATGTGATCTTTCTCCAGTTTCATCAACTGTTTCTCATCCTTCTTCTCCCGTTTTGGCCACTTACGATAATATGAGTTTAATATTTTTATCCGATTTGGATAATGAATTTTCAGATTCTGATGATGAATCCTCCTTCCTGCCTTTTGATAATGAAACTTTAACGTATTATAAAACTGAATGGATAGAGTTATTTTGCCGTTCGGTTTGTTTTTCCTTTATTCCGTTTTATATACGGCCTCCTTCCTTTGCTTTAAATTTGACTGAGATCTCTTCAAAACAATTTCCTGCTCCTTTGTCTCCACTCTTCTTTCTTGACTTAAGGGTCACTCATGTACATCGATCATTTTAGAAACTTTCTGTACGATTTTTGGATTTTGAAGTGGTCTTAGCTCATCCTTCCTTTTCGTCTGCGGATTTCAAATTTTATGATAGACTGTATCGTCTTCATTCTTCTATTTATGATCAAATAATTCACTTTGCGTGTTTATTTGAAATATATGCTGGACTTCTTGTATTTACTCGCAGAATATTGGGTTTTCTGCATTGTATTTATATAGTGTCATTTTCTAAAAAATTTCTTTTTATAGCTATTATGCATTACTCTTCCTCAGCCGATGTGCTTTCTTCCTCGCTACAAACTTGCGACCCAGTCTTTCTGGGATTTTATTATCTGCTGAGGTCATCGGAGTAGTTGAACAATCCTCGTCTGAACTTATATATTAGCCTTCATTGTTGTGGATTGAAATTGTTTAAACCTGGGTAGTTGACCTGAAATTTTGCTATTTGTGGTTTAAAGTTGGGATATACAAATTTGGCTTTTATAGATTAGCTTTTTCTCTATATGTACTTTTTCATGTGACTATCACAGGTCGAAAAGTGAAAAATCAGGCATCAATCAGTCACCAATCAGGCACCAATCAGCTACCTGATTGGTGCCCGATTGGTGCCTGATTTTTCACTTTTCAACCTGTGTATTTCATTTTTGTTTTTTCTTATGTTTGTTATCTTTTCTATATATTCTGAGTGCACATAAAAATTAATAAAGTTTGACTATTAGTACTTCAAATGTGAGTTGTATCAGTATTGTTCGGAATCCTATTATTACAACAAAAGTTGCTGATTTTGTAAAATTAATAAATATTAAAAGTTTTATCAGGTTAGCAGGATAGTTTATAAATTAAGCAATATAATAAATATAGTGAGGCTCAAAGTAGATCAAATGAAAAAAAATTATTTAAAGAAAGAAAAAAGTTATAGGAATTACTAATTAGTAATTTTGATCTTAAAGATGTATTTAACTGCTATGATGAAACTAGTAAAATTTTTATAAAGTTTAGATTTTAAAAATAATAAATATAATTTTAAATTATAAAAATATTTTATTTATTTAGGATTGTATTAGAAATTAGAATTTTTTAAAATATTATTTACCAGTTCTCTTTTCAGAACAAAAAAATTGAAAAATAGAGTTACATTTTTATTAATGTTTAATACAACTGGTTTAATTAAACTTATTAATAAATCAAAGTTTTTTGTGAATTATTATTAGAATAAAAATGTCTGGATGCAAATGTTTATTTGGAATAATTATTTAGAACTTTTAAATCAAAAAATGAAAAAGCAAAATAGAAAGGTCCTTCTCTTGGTAGATAATGCACTAGTTCATTTATTCTGTTAGTAATTTAGAGCTATTAACAAATATTACAATTTATTATTTACCTTCCAATATTATAGCATATTTGCAACTTGCTGATATTGGCATTATTAATTCATTCAAGGTTTATATATTATTTATTATAAATTAGATTATAAAATTAATAGTATATATTCTAATACTTTATTGATCTTAGATACAATATTGTAAAAGATTTATAAAAGATAAAATAATTGAGATTTATGATAATGAAATGGAATTAAATGTACCAGTTTCTAAATTGAAGATAAGTGACTCTATTTTACTTTGTGTAAAAGTTCAGGAAGCTGTACAAGTAAAAATGGTTATCAGTTCAGGCTGAACTTATAGTGCTGGCTAGAATTACAAGAAAGTGTAATATAAAAAAATTTGTATTACAATGGTAGAACTAGTAAAAAATTTTTTGCCCAATAGCTAAACCATTTATCTAGAATTACGTGATTGCCATATTTAGTAATTCTAACTGACACTATATATTTGGCCAGGATTAGTCCAGAACCAAAAGACCGCAATTTTACGTAAGATAGACTAGTCCATTTTTTGGAGTGTAAAACCAATAAGACCGCAGTCTTTTAAGACTGGTGATTATTCTTATATACAAGTGAAACTATTTGTAATTATTAATCAAAAACTAGAATTTTGCCAATTTTACTTTTACCTTTACCTTTACCTTCTGATGAAGAATAAAATAATGATAATTTGAATGAAATAGAAGAGATCTAAAAATTATTAGATCAATATAATAATTTATTTCTAGTAGATTAATAAGTGCCAAGAAATTTATCTTATTAATTGATGATAATAATAATTATGAGAGAGAAGAAATTACAGATGAAGAAATTGTAAATATGGTAAAATCAAATGAAATAGATCTTGAAGAAGAAGAATTAGTTCTATAACCCCAAAATATCTACTTCAAAAGCATTAGCATCATTGGACGAAGTATTATCTTTTCTTGATAATCCACCTAATACTTTTATTATAAAATTCAATAACAGAAATATATTATATAATTTTAAAAAACAAATTATTCAATTGGTATTAAACAGTTGGTTAAACATATGATGAATCATATGTGACTTAATATTATAATAATTAATAATATAATTTCTTTTTTAAATATTTATTGGTAATATAATTAGTAATACGATATGAACATTTACATTTTATTAGCAATATAATTTTAAATTTGATTTACCGAACACCTTTCATATATTAAACTTTTATCCTTGAACCAAAAATTCAGTAATTATTAAATTTTTGGTGTGAGAAATTAATTAATAAAATAAATAATTCATTTATCAATTATCAGAATGAAAATTTTCTTCTGTAGTTATCATATGATATTATAAAATATAAACTATTTTTATTAGCCAATTATCTTAATATAAAAAAAAATAAAAATTTTGGATTTGTGATTTACCAACCTGACTGAAATATGAAAATTGAATTTATAACTTAAATTTATGTGTATTTAATATATAAATTGTTTATGTTGCCAGATGCTAAATTCTCTACTATCAATAGATTGGAAAATATCTTTTCTTCTTGTATGTTCATTTGAAATAGTATCTCCATTAATATATCTTTTCAAGTGGTCAGTTATTTCAATAGTGATTCTCAAAAAAAACCATTTGCAAATGAAAAAACTAAGGAGTCACATATATTGCAATATATATAATTGGTTGGATGACTATTATGAATCCTATCATCTTCATATAACTTTCCATACATTGTAATATATCCATTCTTAGAAAGGATTCTTAGATTCTCTTTAAGTATTTTCTTAAATAAATTACGGATACGAAAATACCACATTTCTGGTATTTTATGATTACATTTTTTTGTTAAAGGTCATATTATATCAATTATTCTTCTATATTTTTCAAAGTTTTCATCACCATAGTTTACTAGATGTAACTTAGAAATTAGAATAGGTTTTACTATCTAAATCCATATTAACGTTTTGGTAGATTATAACAGAATATAACAATTTTATTGATTTATACTGTTTTTAGCAATTTTAGCTGATTTAACAATATTATACTTTAATAAATATCAGATTTATTTTATTTGATTGTTCAGGTGAAAACTGATTCAGCTAAATTAGACCCAATCACCATGTTCAGCTAAACTATGCATAACGCCTTGTTCAAAGAATGTCTCTAGTCTAACTAAATCATGAGATGATTAGCCAACCAAATTTCAGATTTTTTTTCTGAATTTGGGAAAATAGTAAAAAAAAAAGTGGTAATTTTATATTCATATGCATATAGATTAGTTTGTGGATCCTTCATGATTGCATGTATCATTTTTATTTATTTGATAAGTGTTCATTTAGTATTTAGAATAAAAAAAAAAAAGAAAGGCCTTATATGGCAAAACTTTATTTATTTAATTGTTTTAATTGCATTATGCATTCATGCTTTACAATACCACATATGCAAAACTACATTTGAAGACTAAATAAAAATCAAAATATAAGTGTTGAGAATGTCCTAGTGCTGGAACAGTATCATGTGATTGTGGCATAATAATAACCACTATTCCTTAAAATTTTTTATGATATATGTGACCTCACTTCTTATTAGATCCAAAAAACTATATACAGTAAAAGACTTAATATGAAGAATCTTATCTTTCCCTATCATGCTAAAGATATTATAAATTTTTCTGGCTGTATCTGTTCTCTTGTGCATCATACCATTATTTGCATTCTTTGGAAGTTTTTCCTTAACTTCTTTGTTCAGCTTTGTATGTGCCATTTGCGAAGGATTGCTTTGCAAAAGTATAGCTAATCATCCTGATAAGGTTTTTCCAAATCAAAAATAGAAACAAACTAAATCTTTATTAATCTGATCCCATTTTTTTCTGCATCATCAATCTCATAATATAATTTATGGAATTGATTCAAAACTTTTCTCATGTCAGAATCTTCGGGAGGTGCATCAATTGATACTTTACTAGCTGGGTAGATAGATAGCTCACGAATTATGGTTTGTGCTTTTGTATCCTTACTAGATTTACGTGAATCATCTTTCCTCTTCCTTTTCTTGGATGCTTTATCGAAAGTAGGTGAAATATAATATCCTTCTTTTTCAAAATCATCAATTGACGGGCATTTAGGACACAGCTTACTCTTATTACTAATACATTCAAAATGTGTCTTATGTCTGCATAGTAGTAGTATGACTGGTTTAGAAACAGAAGCATTAAGCCTTAATAGAGGCACTTTAGAGATTACTTCAGAATACTTATTACAAGCTTCCTTAAACAGATCATCATCATCAAATTCAAGATCCTCTGAAAGCAATAATGGATCGCTATCTTCCTCCATGCCATATAAGCAATATAATGTTCCTTTCTTATCAATTCCTCTCGCAAAAGTCCGATGGATCATATCACCACAAACATTTAAAATGAGCGATCTAGGTGGGTCTTCTGTCAAAATGGGGATATCACATTCCATACATGGCCCATAATCTGGGATAGCTTCATCAGATTTAATCAACAAAAAATCTGGCTCTTCACGAAGAATATCCTCTGGGAGGTGTTTCAATATATGTAATGCGAGTAATTTTAGGGCTTTATTGTGTTTTGGTTGTACTCCGTAAATATCTCTGCTTTGGGTAGAGGTGTTTATGATACCCTCCATTCCCTCAATATCCTCTGTATTGATATCGTCAGCAGTGATCTCTGTCACATCAAATGGAACTTCTGTATTAGCTGAGCTCTCTTGGCTCTCTTGGTTCTCCATGGTATCATTTTCCAAAAAATAACTATGTAATTCCTCATACAAGACCCTGTTTTTATAGCACCAGGCAAATGTCCAGGAAAAACATTCACCGGATTTTCACCTGCAATTACGCACTGCATTTCGTCATTCATTAACCCCTTGCAAATCGATAAAAAAAAGACGAAGGATTAGTATATACACTTCCCCATAACCCCATCATGCGAAATAATGATTGTCAAAAATTAATTATATTCGAATGTTGTTTTGTTAGTATGATACTAGCGTGAACCAGGAAGAGACATGACGCAAAAAACAAATGCAATCAACTCAATGCGAAAAATATATATATATGCAAATCTTACGTCGCCGGCAAGAATTTTCCCGATATCTTCTGCGCATTTCAGGTGACTTAATATTCAATATACTGTAACACAAATTACGAGAAAAAATCCACAGCACAAAAAATGAAAATCTTTATTATTTAAACTTGCAGATTAAACAAAATACAATAATTTGTCTTGAATATTTCATAATTACTAATCATTTGTTTACGCGAATAATATTAATAGCAGACATAAAAACATAAATCGAAATTGAGAAATCATTAAACACAACATAGAAACCAGATCAATGCTGTTTCTTTTTTGAGTGCTTTTTTTTCGAATTCTTTTTCTTCTTTGCAACAGTGGCGGGTATGTCAAAGGTTGGTTTATCCAGTGAATCTAGGAGAGAAGAAACTAATTATATAAATTATGACAAAAAAGAATGAATAAAATCTTGACATACCAACTTCAGCGACTTCAAATTCAACAACAGTCCCATCGGACTCATAATCCCACATTACGCGGTGAGTCAGAGATACCTTTGGTGCTTCATTCAAATAATCTCCAAGTGGCCACAAAACACCGCACGTTGAGTTGTCCCATTCGAATACACGACCGTAACAATCCAGAAAAAGAAGTCCAGCGTAACGTTCCCCGATGATAATAATATGATCAAAACCATACTGCTTAATATATTCCATATAACATATACAAGTAGAAGGATCTCCTCCTTCGAGATCACAGTTAAGATATTTTGCGACACGTTTACGATCTTTTTTATTTGCAATCATTTCGACTATCATAAGCGGATTATTTGGAGTAGCTTTTGGATTGTTGCAATCTTCTCGAGATTCATCTTTCTTTTCACTTGTCGGCACATGGAACATGGGTTCTGGAACTCTTGCTTGTTCATATTGAAAGTTTGGGACCACAAGACGACACGGTGTTTTCGGCTCTTCTTTCGTCCATACATTGCCAGCCAAGGTACCAATTCGGCGCAGTTGCCCCAACGGTAGTTGCAACATTTGATTTGGGCAAAGTTCGAACACCATTCTACTATCGGAAAGTCTCTCGCCCTCAATTTTGCTATTTTGCCATTGTTCACGTACAACATCGCTTTTGTTATCGATTCTGTTTTTATTCCGCTCCGAATCGATGCCCCATACATAAATTTGATCTTCCCGTTTTCCATTGACACCGTTACATTTACTGCCGTTGGGCGACCCAACGCATTCGTTTCCATCATCGTAATTTTTTTTGTCAAGATAATTAACATTCCGGAAAGATATTTTTTCTTGTCTTGAAACTCCATTCCCTTGATAGAATCCATTCTCATTATGTGGATCGTCCAAAGTAGGGCTACTGCATCCCATACTGTTACTATTGGAATTGGCCGACAGAAGGGTGGTTCTACTAGTTTCCCCACGACGCCAAACGGAATATAAATTTAATGATTCCTATATAAAAAATTTTTCGTTGGCTATTCCTATAATTTCGAAATAGTGTAAAGAATAAAATGCCTGAAAGGTTCTATAAATTCCCTTATCAAATTTCTCGCCCATTTTCCTTTAAGATTATCTAGCCAGGACCAAGCTTCGTTGTCTTCGTATGGACTAGCGAGGACTAGAAAAAATATAAATGAGTACAAAAAAGTGGAAATTACACAGTGAAAATCGATAAACCGGATCTATCGGTTCCACTAAAAATATCCGGTTTATCGGGATATCCGGTATAACGAAAAAATTTTGATATATTGAAAATCTATTATATTTATTGGTTAACGATCACGTGATCCGGTTTATCGAATTTCACAGTGTACTTGTTTTAACCTACATTCGGATAATTGTTATCCATTAGAGTGAGTCAGTCACAAATTGACAATTGCTTAGGTACAATATGATAACTTACACTAACACGTGATATATTATATATATTACATCATTTTTTTGCTTGTCACACAAAAGGCTTCTCCGTTCGAAATACGAAAACAAGTCTTTTTGAAACTTTTTTGCATATATAAAAACTATTGTAAGAAAATTTTTTTCTCACTTTTTTTTAATTGTTTTTTTTTTTTTTAGTTTATTGCTGTTTTCTAATTNATTTAATAAAAAAAAAAAATTTTGAGAAAACATGTGAAAATAAAAATTTTATTGCATTTTCAAATAAAGAAGGTATGATTATAAGCTAAAAATTATAATTTTAAGAAAAAATTTTCAATTTTTAAATAAGTTTACTTATAAGTAACTTTTTAAATTTTGTGTAACAAATCGTTTTTAAAAAAGTTATTTATAAGCAAACTTATTTAAAGATTGAAAATTTTTTCTTAAAATTATAATTTTTAACTTATAATCATATCTCCTTTATTTAAAAATGCAATAAAATTTTTATTTTCACATGTTTTCTCAAAAAATTTTTTTTTTTTATTAAAAAATGCTAGATCACAGTAATTAGAAAACAGCAATAATACTGTATTATTGTATATTATAAATAATTAAAAAGATAATTTCTTATTATACACTAGTGTGCGAAACACACTAGTACGAATAGCAATTTCTTAATTTATTTACATCATTATGAGATCATTGCTACGCAAATTAGCACGTTCGTATTGTGTGCCAGGTTAATGGCACGACCGCAACGCCACAATCACGTGATTTATTAATCAGAAAAATTGTGTCGCACCGATAAACAAATCCCCCATATCGCGCTGGATTTCTTTGCTTTTTTTTATAAATTTTAATTTCGAGTTTTTAATAATAAAATATAATAATTAATAACATTAAAAATGTGAAAAATTAAATTTATTTGTTAAAAAAATATTTTAATTATAAGATGTATAAACCCTTATAATTGATAAAAATAAATGCTATCGCATATAAATGTGTAATTATTATTATAAAATATAAGTTAAATATGCTTAAAAAAAATGTATTATAAAACGTATAAAACGTTGAATTCTATTGTAATAATACCTTGTTTCAATTAAGCTGGTTTTTTAATACATTCTTGCTCAGATTATGTTCCTTTTTGCCAATTTTCTTTGTTTTTCGACCTGGAATGATCTGAGGGTCCGAGTTTTCCAGATTTTCCTTATTATTAGTAATGGAAAATAGTTTTCGCTTACGTCCAGATCCTTCTGTTTTTCGTCATTTTACAGATTCAACTTGCACGCGAATCATAGATCCACTTCTGATATTAACTGCTGGGTCCAACTCGCGATTAATATCATAAAGAAAGGACACTAACCGCGGGATAGATTTCAATTTTGCTGTTTTATAATGTTCTGCAAATTTGTTTAGTGCAGTATGTAATTGTGCGCATCCATTTGAATAGTCTTCCTTGATTTCTTCCAAAAAATTGATAAATATGGTAATATCATCCTTGACATTTTTATTTGATTCACTACAAAATAAAGTGTTTAAATAAGAATTTGTAATTTTATACCAAATTATTAAGGAAGAATTTACCTATACTCGATAGTTAAATTGCTATTTGGCATTGTTGTTTCCATTTGTAAACCTTCTCGGTCTTGTGAAATAAATTCTGCATGTAATGATACGTAAAAGGAACTGTCCTCTGCAGTATAACCTAAAGGAAAAAAATTAAAATTAATGTGGAATCACAAAATTTACTTTTTAATTTTTTTCTTACCGATTGCAATGTAAGCATAAATCATACGGTCATTAGAAGTCAAAGATGGTATAAAGTTAAACATTGATATATGAAATTTTACCGAAATTGCACCTTGATGCTTACAAGGTGCACCGGTCATCCCAATTCGACAAGTACAGGTTCCAATCTCACTATTTACGGTATAGAAATGACCGGAGTTATTCACACTTTTCACAAAGAATTCATTTTCTATGCTATGCTTTTTGATAGAATCCATGTTCACAGTATCCCATCCTGAACATAGAAAGCGTTTTGCTATTCGCAAGTATCCTGGACGTCTATGTGCAAAATTTAACAACCGAAGTGAATAGAACCTCTCCATGTTTTGAGTAATGAATTGAAAAACTTGTACACAATTATACGCTTGTGTTCTTGCAAATACTATATCTTTTATTATTCCGAAACTTCTTTCAATATAATTATTCGTGTTGTTTCCTCGAATATGAAATTCAGAACGAAATGATAGAGCCCATATACTACGACGCTCCCACATGAGTTCAAAGTGTTTGTGTAATTGAGGATATTGACCATAAAATCTTTGCTTGAATTCACAGTAATACTTATGCATTTCCAAATCTGAAGGTGCATAAAGAATTTCCTTCATCTTTTGCATGATAGGTTCACGATCTGCTTTATTGATATAATGCTTCGAATTGTGCAACCACCTCCAAAACGCTTGCAAGACATGAAAAGTGCAGAGAAGGCGAATACCTTTCAAATTACAATAAAAAATTAATTTATAAAAAAAATCATTAATTTCAATCGTTTAATTTATTAAATAAATAACATTTGAATAAATAATTAATAAAAAAAATATTTGATTAAATAAAATTATAAAAAAAAAAATATTAAATTAAATAATTAATAAAACTAATAAAAAAAATCATTATTCTATTGTTCAAAAAAACATTAAATTAAATAATTGATTTAAAATCATTCATTGGTATTAAATAATTAATTTAAAATCATTATCGGTATATATTAACAATAAATCAAAATGGAATCATTACTTTCTGGCCAACATAATTCTAATGCATTCCGCTCCGCGCTTGAATCATCTGTGAGGAAAATCTTTGGGCCGAGTTGTGCTCCACGTCCATAGAAAGCATGTTGTGGAAGAATTGACTTTAATAGGTTTAATGCTTTCTCTAACGTTATTTCAAGCTCATCAGAAGTAATAAACAATCCAAGAGGGAGGGCTCCGACTGCATAACTTGTGTAAAGTAAAGTTATTGATGTGTTTAAAGGTTCAAAAGATGCAGAAGCATCCATATAACAAATTTCACTGGATTGTAAGATCTTTTCGTNTATTGATGTGTTTAAAGGTTCAAAAGATGCAGAAGCATCCATATAACAAATTTCACTGGATTGTAAGATCTTTTCGTGAACTCTGCTCATTAAGCCAGTAACCACACATAAGATAAATGCTTTTCCACTACGTGAATCATATTCTTGTAAGATTACTCGCCCTTTACCAGAATTATTATAATCATTTACAACTTCTGCTAAACGTCTAAACATCGCACTACCATTACGATCACCAAGTGAATCCTGACGATATTGCCGAAACAGATTAAAAATATAGTCATAATCCAGATTACTTGCTCGATCAGCAAGTAACAACAAAAGCTCCTGTTCATCAGCTGCACTAAGATAAAGTTCATCTTCATGTGTGTACATAGCAGATGCTGGGGAGTGACCATCCTTAAATAACTCCAGAAATCTTTCGCGAACCTTTTCATTGACACGTCGAAAACTTAATGACTCTGCCGAAATAATTACATGGTTATGTATAAATTTAATGTTGACTTCCAGGGGATGACTTAATTCAATACGCCAACGTTCCAGTCGAAGGTGTATGGTCGAAGTACAATTTGTATTTCGTAACTGAGATGATTGTTGGCGTTTTATTTCTCGACTACCTTGTTTTTTTTAACCTTATCACTATGAATACAATGCCTCATCTCGCGAAAAAGTATATATTTTCCTTTGAACTCATAACGTTTGGTTTCCGGCATTGTCATTTTTGATTTAGATTCAAACGCCATAAACCATTCGCGTGCTTTTTCTTCATTATCAATATCTACAAAGACATCGAGCTCAAATTGTGGAATAATAAAGTTTTCTGTGGTTCGATATGATGGAAGTTCATTGAAATTTTCAATTAAATACGAATAATTTTGAGGTAAGATTGATTTTAGAACTTCAGAAAGAGAATTCCAAGAAAAGACCTAAAAATGAATATGAAAATTTTTAAATTTTAATAAAGATAAATGATAAACAAATGCGTAATTAGTGAAAATCATTGCTATTTAATATAAATCGATATTATATTAAACAAAAAAAAGAAAAAAAATTTAAATAAACTACATGCTACATATAACATAAAATGATAAAAACCAACTAACAGCTAAATAAACACCCGCATAATACATTATAAATTGAAAATATGTATTACTATACGCTGATATTTTTTGTTTATAATTTTCATTCACGTATATTATACGCTAAAGTCTAAACTTCGATAAAATAAAAATCGTGTAAAATTAACTACTTTACTAAAAATGGCCAATTTTTTGAAATATTTTTATAGACCTAGATACAATGGCTTTCAAAACAATTGTGCAATTATTTTGTAAAATTTTTAAAATATATCAAGATATATTTAAGGTATTTTTGAGATTAAAATATTAAAATAATATCAAAGTTAATTATATTATAATAATAAAATAATAACAAAAACATTAAAAAATTATTGTGATATTATTTTGAGTTATTTTTATAGACCTAGATACAATACAATTACAAAATAATAGCAAAAATATAATAAAAACATTTTGATGTATTAAATGTATTTTTGTAGTATTTTAAAATTATTACAAAATCATTTCAAAAAATTGGCCATTTTTAGTAAAGTAATCTGCAAGTTATTTTGTGAAGTATTTCCTGTATTGTTCATCCTTTACTATTATTGAAGTTATTGTTTAACGAATCACAACTTGAGTTGTGTAACTTATTTATTTATAATAAATATTTTTAATAATTAGATTAGTTTGGCAAAATAAACTCAATTAAAGAGTATTTAAAAGTAGTTATCGTACTTCTGTAAAATTAAAAAAAAAGAATGAGAAAACATTGCTCATTCGAACGAAAGTAGAGTGTGTGAGAAAAAAAGCAAAGAAATCCAGCGCGATATGGGGGATTTGTTTATCAGTGCGATACAATTTTTCTGATTAATAAATCACGTGATTGTGGCTGTGGCGCTACGGCTGCACCATTAACCTGGCACACAATACGGACATGCCGCAAATTGATATATTTGTTATACTTTTTACTCCTGAAAATAAACTTTTCTTCTTCTAAAGTTTCGTTCTAAACTAAAAAATGATGCAAGACATATCAAACCTATTAGTATTTGATATTGATAATGATAACAATACAAACTATATAGATACTTTTTTCCCTCAAGTATTTCGTTTTATTTTATATTTTTTCCTTTTTTAGTACCACCATTTCTCCTTTGTTTAACTTATTTGTTAGTTTTCTATTCAAGATTTGTGCGACTTTCTTAATAATGATGACGATCAGCTTAACAGTCAAATAAATTATTCAAAAGACCTGGAGTCAACAATAATTAATAAAGATCAAGAAAACTATGATGATAAAATGTCAATATCAATGCTTACTCTTACTTTAATTAACCATGTTTAATTTTTTTAAACTAATCTTTACATTCCATTATGGTGTATTAGTCTTCTGTTCGATCTTCATATAACTTCAGTTCTAGTGACGAATTTAGAAATGATCATTATCAGCATCATGATGTTACCGCTCAGCATTCTTTTGATGATATTGAATTACCTGATAGTTCAGAAGAAACAGAACAATATTTGGAGTTAAAGATTGGGCTTACCTTTAAAATTGGGCGGAATTCAATATCTGGATTGATGATTTTGCTAAAAAAAAAAGGATTCAACTATAAGGTTAGAACTAATTTATACATGCTGCCCAAATTATTTTGGGATGCCATAATTATAATTTGGGATGTCGTAATTCATTCAATTTATATATAATTTACTATGTAAAGTGCCAAAATAATTTGGGATGTCATAATTGAATTTGGGATTTTACTTATAATTACGGCAGCCCAAAATAATTTGGGTGGCATGTATAGATTAATTAAAAGGATGGAGAAATAATGCATCGTATTTCTTACGAATATTCAAGATCGGGCAATCACAATCCACAAGTATCTTCCGATCTAACTAAGAGACGAAATGCAACTTCACAACATACACAATGTCCATGAAAACTTAATGTTGCTTGTTCTAAGACAAGTAATGTTGTTAAAATTAATTCATTTGTTGATAATCATAACTATATTCTTACTTCAAATATACAAGAAATGGCTCCAAGATTTCAAAAATTAACTCCAGAAATATTATCTGACATAAAAAAATATGTCATTCAAGGACGAATGGATTCTGTATCTATTTACCCATTACTTATACATGACTATCCTGGATATACTATCTTTAAAAAAGATTTATATAATGCAGTATATCAATTTCAGCTTCAAAATAACCCAGGTGATTCAGATGCATCTCAAATGTTACAAATGTTATTGAAAAAGAGTATTCTGATCCATTATGGATTGTTAAATCACAATTGGAACTTTTATCCAGAAAGTTATCATTTGTTGTGGATGTTATCACAACAACAGGCTTTATATGAAAGTTTTCATGATATTGTATTCTTGGACACCACATCAAACACAAATCAGTTTCAGATGATGCTTTGTGTTGTTGTTGTCATTGATAACCATTTCAAGTCAAGAATCGTAGCTTCTGCAATTATAGAAAATGAAACATTAGATACCTTTCGATGGATTTTAATGACATTATTTGAAGAAACAGATATTAATCCTAGGATTATATTTACCGATTCAGATCCATCTTTAATTAGTGCAATCAAGGAAATATATTCCAATACCGACCATTTATTATGTATTTTCCATATTGATTTAAATCTTCGTAAAAAACTTAAGGGTAAATTAGGAGCTTGCTTTGAAGAATTTTGTCACAAATTTTATACTTGCCAAAATTCTTTATATATAGAATTATTTGAATCACGATGGGTACAATTAATTTCTCAATATCCTGAATCAGTCAAATATACTATATGTCTGATACTCTTTATATTAATAAAGAGTTGTGGGCCATCTCTTGGATATATAATCAATTTATATGTGATGTACAGAGTACCCAAAGAATAGAATTCATTAATAAGCAAATACATGATAAAGTTGATCAGTCTATCTCTTTATGTGATTTGGTGATTACTAATATAAATGATTATGTCAAGTGCAAAGAACATTTTGAAAAAATTTAATGCTTTACCAACTGTTGGATTACCAATATTATATAATAGGTTTTTTGGTCAGGTAGATGATAATATCAAACAATACTTTTAACTTCTATTATGTTGGGAAAGTAGCAATTACAAATGAATTAATCGGTATGTTATAATTTAAACCATATTATGAATTGGCAACAATTATTAGAGGTACATTAGGACCCCGAACAATACTAATATAACTCACAAATGATCAGCATGCGTTTACTATTAACTCTACGCAACTTTTTTTTCATAGTAATGCTACGCAAACTCAAATCTTAGTTAAAAAAAAAAATTTTTTTTTATAGCCAATTTAACATTTTTTTATATTTTAATTTTAATTACTGTTATATCGTATGCAATTAAATAATAAAATGTATTATTTTTAACATATTTATTTGCAGAAATTACAATTTATAGTTTTTATTATCAATAAAAATTTTCTTTTATTTATATTCGAAATTCTGTTTCTACTAGTATAATATTAAGTTCCAACTCCAAGCTCCAGTCTAAAATTTAAGAAAAGAGATAATAAAAAATGTTAGTAAAATAGCAAACATTCTTGTATAAGAACCAAATCCCGCTTCTTTCTTCCAAACATTTACCTATAAAAAAAGATGTTAAAGAATGTTAGCTATATAAAAAAAAATCTAAAGTCCACTTTCTTCTTCCTTTAAAAACATTTACCTGTCTTGAATTCCAAGTTTCAGTCCGAAACCTATAAAAGAAAAGCCAAAAAAACATTAGTAATGGTCTTATATATAAAAAAAAAAATTTAGCACACTTTTTTTTTTAAAAACACTACCCACCTGTCTTTAATATTAAGTTCCAGTCCAAAACCTACAAAAGTAAGAATGTTAGTGAACGTTTTTATACAAGAAAAATTAATTAAAATCAATTCTCTCCTCCTTTTAAAACACTTACCTATCTTAAAATTCCAAGTTTCAGTCCGAAACCTACAAAGTAAAGAATGTTAGTAGCATTCTTACATATTTATCATAACCTACTCACCCACTCACCATTTATAAACACTTACTGTTTCACTTTCAAGTTACAGTCTGACTGGAATCTCTAAAGTTAAAAAAAATGGGTTTTTAAAAAGTAAAAAAATGTTTTTAAAACTGAAAAAAAAATAAAAAAAAAATAAAATCAGTTTTAAAAACTGAAAAAAAAGTAAAAAAAAATAAATCGGTTTTAAAAAACCAAAAAAGAAATAAAAAATAAAATAAAATCGGTTTTAAAAACCGAAAAAGAAATAAAATAAAAATAAATTCTGGTTTAAAAAACCGAAAAAAAATAAAAAAAAAATTATATTTCGGTTTTAGAAACTGAAAAAAATATAAAAAAAAATTAACATTCGGTTTAAAAAACCAAAAAAAATAAATAAAAAAAATAAATTTCGGTTTTAGAAACTGAAAAAAAATAGAAAAATAAAATAAAATAAAAACAAATAATAAATTTCGGTATAAATTTTCAAAAAAAAAGATCGATAAATGATAATTCGATCTAATTTGATCACCCGTCACATACAATAGATTTTTATTGAAATCGTAATTAAAAAAAATTATAAAATTCCGGTATATAATAATTATTTATTTTTTAAAAGATAAATCTCACATATTTATAAACTCTACGCAAACGTAATATGTGAGTTGCCCAAAAATTGACCGATCTATGCAAACTCAATTTATGGGTTTAAAATACGTTCTCATATAAACTCTACGCAAATCCAAATGTGAGTTGTATCATAGATATTCGGGGTCCTGGTACATTGTGTTCCTTGTTAATTACAGTGACACCTCTATAAGTGCACCCTCTATAAGTGCATGTACTATATAAATTCTCTTTAAGTGCACGGTTCTATGAAATTTTTCAAGAGGGGTACTATGCATAGGGGGGTACTATGGCCTGCAATATATGGTATATATCAAAAATTAAATTATTATGTTTTGTAATGATTATACTTTACAATACTAAAATTTTAAATAATTTGAATTATTTTATAGAATTATACATTTTTTAAATTGTAAATTCTATT